TGACGTTTTTGGGCAACAACTTTTTAATTTTTATATATTTTTACAACTTTTACAGCGGCCAAAACGCGCCTGGCTTCGTTTTTGCTGCCAACAGATTTGACTGCTTTTTTCCTTAGATTGCTGAGCTTGTCTTTGGGCTTCTTACACTGAGTAAACAGCTTGGGGAAATTATGGTTTCTAAGAACAAACAAATATAAATATGTTTGGCAATATTACATTTTTGATTTAATATTATTCATTTTAATTTGAGCTTACTAATAATCATACACCTTGATACTAATACTAAATGGCTGTATTTTTTTTCAAGTGCGTGGTATCCGACTCAGCCCAATATTTATTGCATCTTCAGAGGAGGATTTGCAAATCATTAAAAAAAAAAACTGCCAACTGGTAACTTTTAGCACCGTCAGCCTTTCCTCGGCGATTTTGGCCAATTAGGATTAGGGCGAGCGTTTGAAATGCCAGCGATTAGTGGCTTTCTTTGGGAAAAAAGCTTTTGGCCAACTTTTCGCTTCAAGTGGCTGTCGGATTTAATTTTTTTATTGCCTTCAGCGGGCTAAGAACTGCGCTTCCAGGTCACGCGCACCAACACCACAATTGGCCACAAATCTAAACCGAATCCGGCGGACTGGGGTCCAAGGAGTCCCGAAGCTAGCTGATGGTGATGAGCTGGTGCCGAGGGTCCTGTCTCCTGTTGATCGTCTGGGTCTGATTTGCATATTTGTCAATTTACAACAAAGAACTGCAACGTGGCCTGCTTACATATGCGACACGGTGCTCGAGGGTCCGACGACCCCTGGATTTTAACAGACTGCATCCTGCGGTCAGCTCTCCGTATTCATAATCAGCGGATAGTTAAAGTGAGAGAGAGGGAGGGAGTGGGAGAGAAAGGGAAGATTCCGGATAGATGGGCAGCCATTTTTGTCTTTTACCCGCTTGCGGTTTCCGCTTCCGTTTCGCTTTTTGTGCGGCTGCAGCTTCCCATTTTGGGGCATGCCTTCAATTTCTATTACTTTTGCTGACGAATTTCGCTTTGAGTCCGCCTTGTTGGCCACGCTTTATTACTTTTTCGACAGCAACAGAGAGAGACGGCGAGGATTCGGTCATTTGCTATGCATGTCGCGTCTCAATGCGAAATTTACCCTTCCCGAAAGAGGTAGCTACAAAATATGATGTGCCAAGCTGAATAACTGGAAAAAAATATATTTTTCTGCTTTTGAATCTTTTTTTTTTTTGTATACATCACACAATTCTCCATCAATGAATTAATTTTTAAATGAAAATAACAAGGAGCATTTTATTAGAAATGAATTTATTTTTTGTATTTTCAAGTAGCCACACTTAGTGGTAAAAGAGTTCGTTGGGAACAGCATCTCACATTGCTCGAATCACTCTTCACCCAATTTCCATTGCATTTCCTAACCATTGCGGCATTCCGAGCTTCCTTTGCTGTCTTTTTGGGTCCTGCACTTGGCTTTAATAAGAAATGCCGTCTCAAGGAAATGGGCAGACACCTGCTCCACTGGTGCTCAATGCATTTTTGGAGTGGAATGCAGTCTAAAACAGAGGACCAACCAGAGTACAAGTATCAAGGAGATGTGATAAAAATTAACGACTCCCCAAGGGGGTGGCAAGGTGAGATGATGGCTGGCAAGAGGGTGCCAGTCAGCGAAAGTCAGTTTTTAAATTTTTAAACATTTAATTCCGAGCTGAGGAGTTTTATTTGATTTAAATATGCATTTTCTGCTCAAGAAGGGCAGCCCAAGCCCAACACTCTTGGCTCCGGCAAATTGAATCCGCATTCGAGAAACTATTTGTGGAAAGCACACGGCGAAGGGCAAAAGACAAAAATAACTACATAAATTATTTATGCAATATCTGAGAATGTGGACCCGACCAAGTGGGAGAGGGGAAGGAAAAGAAGATCCTGTGCTTCTTGTTGCCATTTTTATTTGCGCTCTAAATGCTGCAACATTTTGTTTACGGCCACTGAGGAGCAGAACGCTCGTTGTTGCCTGAACAAATGCTAATTTGCTGCAGATATGAGTGTGGCAACATCAGCATTTGGGGCAGAAGGGTCATCAAATAATCATATTTGATTTATATCTCCAGAAATTGCAAGTTCCAAAAGTATGTCGGCCCATATTTTAAAGCATTATCAATATGTATGACTCATAGTATGTCTCGCACTAAAGTTAAATGCAAATTGAAAAAATAATAACAGGTAAATTCGCTAAATGCAACTAGTTTGCTAATCCCCTTGGATTGCAGCTCAAGCACGTTTCAGTTCGACTGATTTTTCTATAATCACGTTTCTCGCTTAGTCAATTGAAGTGCACAGCGAAAGTTAAATGGAAATGGATAATTATATTTCAGCTAACATACCTGAACCTGTGTTTGCTCCAGCTTATCACATTATATTCACATTATTGTCTTCAATTGGGAAATTCAAATAATTTATAGTTTGCGCTCCAAAACTGCATTACAAAAGCTTTTTGAAGCAAGCTTTCCATACGAAACTCAAGCTTTTGTCAGCTGCCTTCCCTGTTGATGCAGCTGCAGCTTTGCGCCTTTTTGGTTTAATATGTAAAAAAAATATTTAAAAATTATTTATAAAATATATATTTAGAAAAACGGTCTCTTTTAAATACTGAACATTTTTTTGTAAGCTATTTCATTAAGCAAACTAATTAACCACTTGACTTCACTTCACTTTGCTCAGCCCACAAAAGTAGGCAACAAATTTGAGCTGCTTTATGTTAAACAGATTTCAGCTCACAGAGGTTACTCTGCTGGTAAAAAAAGGACGGGGATAAACCAAATATTAGCAGCTGCCACAACAATACTAAAGGACAACAAAAGCGGAATTATGCCACAGGACAAGCAGCTGTTTTGCAACTGAGAGCAGGCACGCGAAAGAGAATGCGAGTCCTGCGAAAGGAAAGAGAGGCGAGTGAGCTTTTGGGAACTTCGGGCTTCGCTGCAGATTTAAAGGGTTTTACCGTTTAGGGGCATATGGAGCTATACTAATAATAAATCAACTTTATTTTTTATATTATTATTTTATAATTGACTTGATCAGAATATTAGAGAATAAATGAATTAGAGATTTTACTTTTTAGGTAAATATTTCATGTCCTTCTCCATATATTTGCTAAATATTATTCACACGGTATCTGCCAGTCGCCGCGGTGTCCGGCGCTCACCGTTTTTGTTTATTTGGCTTGGCACTTTGAGGCCTTTGCTTTTTTAATTTAAATGTTAATTCGCTTGCATGTGCATGCAATGACCCACACTCTTCCAGCTTCTTTTGGTGCCGTGAACTGGCATATTTTTATAATTCCTGTGGCTCAAGCCCGCTTCCCTTAGCCATATTTGCATTTGCATATGAGCCACCAGACTGACGCCAAACTTAAATGGCTGAAATATTAAAGTTCCCCCAGGAACCAGCTCCACCACCATCTACTCCACTACAGAACCCACCCCATCTCCACTCGATCTCACTTAAGTTTTTATATCCTGGCGCACACACACGTCGTTTTATTGTGTATTTGTCTTGGCCGCCGCAAATAAAGACGGTCTAAATAAGCGGTCGGCACACACATACAATGACAGGAAGGCGATGCAATGTATGCGTGCACACAACACGAGCCAAAGGCTTTTCAAAAAGGAGCTAATTTATGTTGGAATAAAAAATGCTGAAGTAAAGTATAACTAAAATAAATATTTAGAAGACTGGGCTTTAAATAAAGTTAAAGTTGAAAAGGTTAATAAGTATGCCCACCAAGTACGAGGTACTTTTACCATACTAGTGGTATATAATGAAGGTAGCTCTGCAAACTTAACGTATTTGCTAGCAGTGCAGCACGCGAAGGGGCAAGAAAACCCGAAGACGCAGGACGAAGTCACCCGAACTTGAGCACTGTACGTGTGCTGGCAGAGAAGGAGCTGAGCCATATCCTGTTCCTGTGCCGCCTAATGGGACGCTGTCCACCGCTGGTCTAAATGCAAGACGTCGCAGCAATGGAAACGGAATGGGTATGTGTATGGGAATGGGAATGGGAATGGGAATGGGAATGGGCACGGGCTGGAGGAGAGAATTCATTAAAAATTAATCCAACGAGTGCGAGGTATATTTGGATCCATTCCCATATCCCTCCGCTCGACTCTTCTTTGTTCCCGCTGTCTGCTATTCAATTATGTATGCCACGGCAGCCATGAAAATGACCTGCAACGCCGTCGTTGCCCCCCCTGCCCCGCCCCTCGAGCGCAGTAAATTCTAACAGCACTTGGGGCTCACCTTTGGCCACCCCACTCACCTGGCCCAAATCCCCCTCACAGATCGTTGGCTGGCTGGCTGCTCGGTTGGTTGGCAGTTTTATGTGTTTTGTCTTCGCATGCCGCATAAACGGAATTATTTACAATTTATTTTTACCTGAGCTAAGACCCCAACTACACATAAAGAAAAGATGCACAACGAATCGGAGCAAATGTGATGTGATTTTAAATGAAATTTCCATGAATTATAAAACAAATCATTGCAAAACAGTGCAAACAGCAGACTAGTAATCTTAAATATTTGTAAATAATTGCATAAACTACAAATTGCAAACATACAATGCCAGCATGCATAGCACAGTGAATAGTTTCTCAGTGTATAAGAACGCAAGACGAAGATGAAGCAGCAACCAAGAAAACCCGGAGTGGAAAAAAGGGGGAGGGGCAGTGGCAGTAACGGCGGCAGCGGCAAGTGGTGGCATTTGGTTGCCGCTTGTTTGTTTTTGTGCTATTCAAAATGTCTTCATTGCCGGACAGAAGATGCCAAAGGAGCTGACCGAAGAGCCAAAAGGACGAGGAGCCACGCCGGCAGGACTCCGCTTGATTGGCTTTAATTTGAAGATGAAAAGTCTAGAAATGAAACTGGGACTGGGCACTTTTAATTTAGCCAACAACTCGCAAAGCAGAAATGTTCCCAATAAAACAATTCAAATTGTTTCGCAACCACGATGCAAAATGAAATACACTTCACAAGTATGTTTAATATAGATCCAAATAAAGCAGAGTCTTGCGATTGACGACACGGGAATAAAAAACTTTCAATCAATGGACACATTTGCTGTTCTTAACGCGAGAAGACTTCTTCAGAACGTTCCGAGATTTCCACTTTAGATCGCTTCCCTTCACAGTTTCCCACTTAGAGCGCAATCTAAGCCAGATCATTTGACCAAGGACCACAAGGCCCGACATCCAGACACTTGGTATGGGAACCTCCGCGGAACTGATTGGTTCAGTACTTGAGTATTCTATGGCACCCGGCGGAAAATCGCCCACCGTAAAATTCAATCCATCAGCCATTGTTAAAATGTATTGTCACTATCGAGGTAAAAGAAGGAAGAGTTGTTAATGCTATGTTATTTCGACACCAACTTACATTTATGATGGTTATTTCCGGGCTAACGATATCGGTAAAAACTTTAGTTTCTTTTTCACAGCTTGCTGAAACAATATATTTCTTGTAATAAAATTTACAACGACCACAATTTAATGAAACCTCTATAAGTTAATTTATCACGTACTGTAATAGAGATTAAATCAACTATATATTCGCTATGAGCAATGCTCCAGTGTTGCGTGCTTAATTGAATGGCGTCTAATGCCAATGCAAATCGAATTGCAATCGGGAGATCCGCGCTGCTCACTGGCAGTTTATATCAAAAGCCGAGAAGTCACTTTGCATAAATTAGTGGTGGCTTAAATGCAGAAAGCCAGAGTGCACCTAAGCAGATATTAACGCCAAGGATGGCAAAGGATGCGCCACTCGAGCACTCAGTCCCGTTTTCGTTCCCATTCACATTCACGTCCACGTCCTCGTCCTCGTCCTCGTCGTCCTTTTGCTCATCATAATCATCGACATCATCGTGCGGCACTCATAAGCATAAGTATGAGCATGAGCGATGATAAATCATTAGGGGCAACGTGTTGCGGCCAACTTGACTTGACAGCCACTGCAGCACTCGACGCGTGGAGGGGGTGGTGCATGGAGTGGGTGGTGCGCCTGGTGGTGCTGATGATGCAAGTCTAGTCAGTCGCCAGTAATCTGATCTCAGGCATCTTCTGACTTCATTTTGCTTTAACCATTTCTTTTTGACATAAATATTTAAAACAATTTTAGCTTTTTCGTCGAATATTCTGCCCTAATTATTTCAAATATATTATAAAGATCATAAGTTCTGCATCAGCTATTAGAACACCCGTTTCCTACTTTTGGACCCTCATCGCCGGCGATAATTATTAATTATTAATGCGCACCTCAAGTTGGCAAATAATGATATAGTGCTGGAGATACTCAACGCATTTGTGTGTGGCAAATTTATGGCTTGTACGTGTGGTATAAACAATTGGGCTGCCCAGGTGCCCCAAGCTATTTTCGAACCCAAGCCATTTTGCACAAATACTTGGCCATCTAAGGTTGATGGGTCTGCGATACGGGCCCTGTGTTCAGGGCCCAAATGCATTTTAAGCGGGCCTTTTCCGCTTCAGCTTTCCCACTGCAATGCGACGCTCGTTGCAGAAATGCAAATAAGCTAGAAATACTTTTCGCTTTCAAAACATTTGCATACATTGCGCTTATCACACCGAAGTAAAAAAGATTACGTGGCGTATACGCAACAAGGGGTAAGGTATTCCGCTGTTACAATTGGTCAAATCGCACTAAATTGGGGTCAACAGACAATTAATAATTTAATGGCTACTGTGAAAAGTTTTCCGAAAATCAATTAAGTGAACGCATAAAGCCCCGAAATGTTCTTCCATCATTAAGTGCCCCAGTAATTAATCAGCGAGCAAATGCAAATTACTTTTCCGACTTGACGTTGCAGTATTTGTTCCTGTTCTTGTTATGGCCCTCGTTGATCCTGGCTCCTTGAATTGGTCTTGAGTCGTGCTGCTAACTGTGCTAACCGGAAACGGAAATGTAGCTTGCATAACAAATGAATTTCGCTGAGGGGTGGCCTCCCCGCTCCTTTTGACAAGTCACCAGGGCCCGTGCCATTGTTCTGCCAACCCCAAGTTGTTCCCATTCTGCGAGTTTCTTTGCCATAAATTGCTTTTCCACATATTGCTTGGGATTGGGTGGGCTTGGCTTGTAGACTCTTCATCGAAAGACAACTGGTGGTGACAGGCCTTATTTCGGCTCTAGACTCAAGACACAGCTAGAGATACCCAGCGGAAATGACAAAAATCGAGGGTAAAACCATTCCAAATGCAGACTGCAATGAGAATTGCACTTTTGCTTGGCAGAAAATTTATGAACTTCATTGCCATGCGTCAAATAAATGTCAAAAAGTACGCCAAAAGTGCGGCCATTAATGCAAAAGATCCGTGGGACCAGCAAAATTCCGTTGAAGCTGTTCGACCGCAATAAAAAAATGCTCGCAAAAATTTCCGCCTTGTTTTTTGCAATTTTTTTTGTCGGTAGCTGTTTGTTTGGCATGTTAAACACAGTTTTTTAATGAATTTTCACGCCAGTCGAGTGTAAAATGCCTGGACTCTGGCGCTGGGGCTCTGACTACTTTTAAAATGCCATAAAACTAAAAAAAAATATAAAAATTATATTCCCTGTGCGGCAGACAAAGTGAAAAAAATTGTTTTTCAAAAGTTTGCTGCTGAATTTCGCGATTGTTGCTGCTGTTGTTGCTGACCATCATTTTTCTGAATGCCTGCATCTGTCTGCCTCAATGTCTCTCTTTCCCCCTCTATTTATTATGCCCGTCCCTCTCTGCGGGTTTCGGTGTTGTTTTTTGTGTGAATTTACCAAGACAAGGCTTCGGTGGTCGGAATGTCCTAACAGGATAAGTGGTTCGATTGGCTTACTCGATGATTTCGATGTTTCAGTCCAAGGAATAACACCTTTTATGCGTTTAACAGTAGGTAAAAATATTGTATGGGAGTTTGTAAAAAAAATATTTTAGCCTTTGACCAAGTGAAAGCATTAAAGGCATTTCAAAAGGTAAAACTTCTGGGAAATTGTCGTATCCTTCGGGTCTTAATTTACCTTTTCCGTAGGGCATTTGCCATTTGCCATTGATAGCTTCCAGATATCCATCTTCCACTCACTTCGTGTTTTACTTTGTATTTTTTCTGGTTTTCATTTCGATGCTTCAAGCGCAAGCGACAGATGATAATAAAAAATTTTATTACACACAAGCTCATCCATTTGACTTAATGGCGGTCGGAATGTTGCAGGCTTTTAATGTGCGTCATCATGATGGGAGGGGGTGTGTATCAGCGGCGGGGTGGGGGCGGTGATTTCCTGTCTAGGTATTCCGCAGCTTCTGTTTGAGCTGTTGATTGTTTAATAATTTTTATTTTTGCCTCTGCCTTTTTTGGCCTGCGCTCTTCTCAAGTGGAAGTGCATGTAATTTCATTTGCAATTTGCATGCAACTTTTTTTCGCAGGAGAGATTTGTGGGCCGCACTGATTGCACCAGTTGGGGCGCCAAATAAAATAATTTGTAGTATATATATCCTGTACTCCGCCTCCCATCGCCCAGCTGACACTCAATAAATCAGCGAAATGTGCGAGCAAAATAATAATTAATGGGCCGAAAGCGGGAAAGGGGCAAAGGGGGCAGGAGGAATGCATGAAAATTTGTGAAAAATTACACAATTTCCGCACACCCAATTATAATTGCCAGCGAACCGAAATGAGCATTGCACTCTTAGTATGCGGCACATGTAGAAAATGAGTTAAGTGCTGGCCATCCCACCAGCGGAAGTAGACAACACTTGGCTTAATTCCTATGCTCGGCCGTCTGTCTATCTGTTTGTCCGTCAGTTTTTCCGCTTTTCCTCCTTGGCACATATCCCCTCTTCATTGGCGGCGCTCATCATCATTTGGCAGAGCCGCATGTTCAATATGATTCGTGACATGTTAGGGAATTAGTGCTATAGCCCCGCTTTCAGCATTCCAGCACCCACCACCCACCACCACCCATCCACTGCCTGCACTGGGTGGGTGGTTACCCAGCCAAAAACACCCAGGAGCAGTCCGAGTTCGAATTGCTGGCCACGTGCGCCACATGTTTGTCATGCCAAGTGGCGCCAAGCGGCCTCATTAATGTGAGTTGCTTTAAGTTTTATTTATTTATTATTGGACTTTGGCCGGGTTGCTGTGTTTTTCTTTTTCCCAGCTCACTGGCTTGATTCCCTCTTGTTTTTCCACGGATTTGTGCTAGCTAATTGCTTTTTGTTTGGTCCCGGGATCGAAACTAGCCCGTGGAAAATAAGTGAAATTCAGGACTTGTTTTGGGGTCTCGTGTTTGGTGGTCCAGCAATTAATGGGCAGCTTAAGTGAAAATATTAATAATATTGTATGCACAAAAATGTTTTAAACATAAAGAATCATATTTAGTCATTAAATGATATCAGCTTTAAATATTTAAATACTGAATAGTTCAGATTTTTAATTTGAAGAAATGTAAAATGAATATTACCATTTTTCTCTTTTTTTTTGACTTACCTTTTACTTACGGAGAATATTGTAATGGCCTAAAACTCTGATTTCAAATTATACGCCAGAACGGCTATATATCGAGTATCCGACGTGTGGTCGTCGATGAAACGCCGTGAGACTCCCCAAGCAAAACAAAGTAGTTGTTGCCAGCTTTTCTAGTTTACAGTTTGCATTTAGCAGTTCTGCCACACGAAGTTTGCGGCGTGTCTGGTTTGTACACGAGTCCCTGGTCTCTTATCATGTTAGTTGGGGCTTTATTGCCCCGAAATAGTGGCTCAAGAAGTATTTGGTTGCATGCCCCGGTGTCGGCTCTCTTTTTGCTAGCGTCTTGGTCTAATTTGTAAAATTATTCGCACGTACTTTCTTATTAGTTTGTTTTGCCCTGTTATTTTTTTCGGCCAGAAAAGCGAAACTTTACGGAATAGCAACTAGACGGTTTTCAGAATATCCATCAAGTATTTTCAAGATATTTATTAAGGCTAAATTTAAAGTTGCAGCATACATTTTATTTGGTATTACTATCAAAAACTAGGGCCCGCGGCAATTGTTGAGTTTATTTGTTTGTTAGGGAGCAGCCGCCAATCAAGTGAACCGTTAAAAAACGCTCAAGCGAAAAACAAGAGAGTGGAAAACCTTCAGACAACAGAAAATTTCCATTTATCAAGCGGCATAACAGCGACATTTGATCAAGATATTAGCAAATGTTCAATTTATTTAGAAAAACCGCTGCGGCACATGGCCCAAAAAAGGCGCACACACAAAGCGGAAAAACAAGTGCTTCGTGTGTGTGTGAGTGCAACACGGTAAAGGAAAAATCCAAACCCAAACCGAAACCGAAAAATGCAAATCGAGCTGGGGGAATTAGTGACAGCCGAGCGGAAAGACCGACTCCACTTTCAGTTCCAGCTCTGCCCTTTAGAGCTTTCCCAGTGTGACATTTGCAATTGACAGTCGCATCGAGTTGAGTTTTCAGTTGAGGTTTTCCGTGGGTCCCAAGGTTTTTCCGGGCGAAAGGGGGCAGCAAAAGCAAAAAAAAGGAAAGTCAACTGCAGCCTTTGCTGCCATTCCTTCTTCCTCTGCGACAATTTAAAACTGCGAAAGTTTTAAATGTTCGCCTCGCTCCTTTTTATTTTCAAGTCTTTCCTCTTCGCGGTGCTTTTTCCTTGCGGCAAAATGTCAAACTGCGGCCAAAGTTCGCGTGCAAAATGGCGTCCCAAGTGGGCGTGGCTGCGGCAGGGACAGGGGCAGGGGCGCAGGCTAACACGTGTGCAGTTTTCCGAAATATTTCCTTAAATTTGCCCATTCCCAGCGATTAATTTAGCCGGAGACGGTCGTTTTTTATGCCAGCTAAGATACCTTCTGCTGCAATGTGGTGAGCGAAACTGCTGATAATTTGGATTGCAATTAATTATCACTGTGGTACTCAATTAGCATATGACATATAAAAACACAGAATAAAAGAGTGTAAAATTTATTGAGTATCTATGTCTTTAAATTGCTCGCCATATATTGAATATAGAGTTTAGTTTAGGGAACAAAACCATTTAATGTTTATATTAATATTAATGCTTCAAGCTAGCGCTTTCCACATTTAGTTGTTATTTCAAAAACCACAGTGTCATTTGCTCAGGTGAGAAGGGGCGGGGGGGCGAGCACTTACTTTTAATTAGCAAACAAAACGAACATTAAATCGTAAATGAAATGCCGCCGAAACCGCCGAAAAGTATGCAAAACTTTTGTTATTGTCGCCAAATAAATTTCGCCAATGCGACGGGCGTGGGGGCGAAATTGGGGGCTGTGTGGGCGTGGCTGGTCCAACAAATTCGCCAATTCGAGGAAATGAGAGGGTGAAAAACAACAAGCGGCTAACAGAAAGTTCCACCGACAGCAAAATTATGTGGCGTCAAATGCGTCGCGTCGCCTGAGGGAAAACCGCCTGCAACTGGATCCTCGGGGGGCGATCCAGGAGGTGTGGGCGTGGCCAGGTGGTTTTCCCACCTCCACCTCCACATTCCCTTCAGCCCTGTGGTGCGGTTGCCGTCGGGCTGAAATTTATGCTGCTGTGTGAAATTTTACGCGACAGGTGGAAAAATAAAAGCAGCCGCACAAAACTGCAGCAAAAAGTTGCATGCAAATTTCTAAATGGAAAAGCAAGTGCTCCAAGTCTGTCTGAATATCCTGCCTCCTTGCACCTCCTCACTCGCGCAAATAAAGCCACTTAAATATTTAAAAGGACGAAAGGACGAGGCGAAAAGCTCCCCGTGGACGAGGCCATTCGACCAAGTTCCTTCAGCGGCCCGAATATCCTTCTTCAACACTTGATTAGCAGCACTTCCATATTTCCGCCAAGTGGGGTGGCTGACATGGGGTTTCCATGTTAACACTTGCCCACAACAACTGTCCTCATTAGGCAGAAGGGTTCCCGCTCGTGACTGGCAACGTAAATCATCAATTAAAACAAATTTTCCATTTGGGGGCAATGTTTGAAATTAATTTTTAAAATGAAATGTTTTCGTAAATTATGAGGGTCACTTGAAGTGGGTCTAAGTGAGATGAGTGGAGTGGCGGGTGAGGGGTTTTCTGCCTGAAAAATAGAATTTTTAAATTGCCTTTGCAATGAGTGAGAAATTACAAGTTGGCCAAATAAGATAGAGTTCATATATTGCTCTAATTCTTTTAAGCTAAACGTTTAGGTATAGCTTTCTTTTGGGTTTCCCAATGCGTGATATCAGCAGAAACATTGTACATATCTGAACAGAAACTCATAATTGCCAAGTGATTCCAAATTTGGAAACTTGCACAACCCGCAATTTTACGAGTGGTAATTGCAACACAGATATCCTTAGATCTGCTGCTTGATTTTTGGTAGGTTCCTGGAAAACGTTTACCCAAACCCAAGCTTGCACCAATAAGTGGGGGGCATATAAATTACGGGAATAAAAACTGAAATTGCTGCAAAAACAGAAACACACTTAAAACGAACACACACACACACACATGCAGAACGTTCAACAGCAAAGCAAAAACGGAATATTTATGAACGCACCACGCGACGAGGGAAAGCGAAAATGCGCCAAACGAAGTTGTGGGGAAGTGGGAATGGAAATGGAAATGGAACCAAGACCAACGAACCAAGTCCAAGTCCGAAGTCCTGTCTACCCTCTCCTGCACCACACACACACACTCACACACACACGTACTCATATATATGTATTTTCCTACTGCCGGGCAATGTTTGCTGGCAGATAAAGCAAATGGCAAAAGTGTTTTCCACGCGCGATCGATATACACGGCGCCAGCAAGGCGGGACAAATTTTCATAGTTCAAGTGGCGCCTAGGAAAACCCAAGCCCACCGAACCCACCAGCAGAAACCACCAGCAAATGTGGCCAAAGGCGGGCGGCAGTAAAAATGCTGCTCGGAGAGAAATAAATGCGATAAAAATTATTGCGGAAGTGCGCAGGCGAACAGAGTGTGCGAACAGCGAAAAAATTATAGAAAGGAGCATCAGGACTGGCTGTTTGACGCATATTCCCTGCCTTTTGGGCCCACTCTGTGGCACCTCATCATCAGGCGGGTCCTTTGTGTTTCGGTTGAATCATCGCCAAGGACGAAGCTGAGAATTGATATCACGTGTCAGTCCAACGTCAATGTCACTCAGTCACTTCCGCCCAAGCGAAGGACGAAGGACTCTTTGCCCGGAATGGGTGGGCATAAAAACGCCGTGCTAAATGAGCCACGGCTTTCTCGGATCTGATTTTATTTTACGATTTAGGCGTGTGTTGGCCTTAGCTGTTGCCAAATTAGTTAGCAAAATTAACTTGTCTATTGGCGTGGATTGCCGTTTTATGGCTTTCGCGTAGATAGGCGACTCACTGTTGACTCATCTTGCAAATTATCCTTACAAATTATACAAATTGCTTTTATGAGCTTAATTTAAAAGAATTTCTTAAAAATTCGAATATATAATATATAATTAAAAGCAGCTAAAAACTATTCTGTAGCAGCCTGAGGCGATTTTCCTGCCAGTGGACAGGACACTTAAGCCACTTTATATTAAGCATTGACCTCTGGGCTCGCAGGATATCCGCCGCAGGCAGTTCCCGGATCAAAGCACAGACACTGGACAGCAGCTGGCACCGCTCGCTCTCCTCCAAGCGGAACTCGTCCACCTCGATGGCCAGGATGACTAAGTAATTCCAATGGGGCATCAGCAGGTTCAGGCGGCACTCGACAGCCGGCAGCATCGGATCCGCGCGGCGGAGTTCGTTGACCAGACAAGCCCAGATGGTCTCGATACTCACGGTTTCCGGGATTGAGATCAGCTCCAGGAGCTGCAGGCGTATGAAAGCCTGCGGGCGATCGTGTATGCTATTTAAAATGCCTAGGATTATGTCAGTTTGTTGCTTCTTGATGTTTCCCATCAGGTGACGCAGGAAAAAAACGCCAACCTCCACTTCTGTCCAGGAGCTCTGCCTATCCACCACTATATTGTACAGCTTCTCCAAGGTATCAGCGTTTATTATGTGAGCCATATCCAACAGGACCTCGCCAATGAGTCCTCGGAAGCGCTGTATATCTGCCGAGTCTGGTGGCATCATGAATTCATAACTGGCTGGCAGTGCAGCACGTGGAAGCAGCAGATCCAGGAGCCGCAGGAAGTACGGCCGATACACAGAATACTTGTGGGGATCGGCGTGCTGAAACACTTCTTCTGAAATCGAGGACCACATGCCCAAAGAGGCTTCTATTACCTCCAAAGGGGACAGTTCGGCTATAAGTAACAATAGCTCGATGGTTTGGAGTCGCTCTTCGAGTCGCTCGGGATTCGTTTGAGTTAGCTGGAAGTGTGTGTGGAACAGATTCACAAATATGTTGCAATAGTTTTGCAACAATGGGCTTTCGCCCATGGAGCGTTTGAATGCCGGCTTTAGGGAGATGACCAAGTCAGCCAAACGACCATTCAGATCAACTCTGACCAGCGATTGCTCGAGCATGGCTACGAGCAGTTCCGCCGCCTGCAAATGTCCTTCAGCCAGCGGGGTAACTAGAATAAATTCAGCCTTTACAAGCAGTTTGCTGTCCAGCACTTCATTGGGTGAAAGCAAACCAAATTTGGTCCAGGACGCGCAAGCTGCCAGACATTTCGACAAGACGTCGTCCGGCAAGTCCGGTCGCTCTACAAGTCCTTCCAGCACATCCAAGATATAGGTGGACTGAAATCGCAGTTCGTGAATCACGAAATGCAATTGCTCTGCTGACAAGAGCAGATTCGATGGCCGAGTCTCTTCAGGCACGACCCTCAGGACCTCCAAAAGCGCCATCACGTGCTGGGGTTTTCCAGATAGCTTCGTTACAAAGTCTTCTAGATCGTAATCCCATTGTGCAGCCATTAGGCCCAAGGCGGATAGGCATACTCCTAACTGCACAATCAAAGAATTGGAGTCCGACATCATAGCTGCATATTTCAGGTGATTGATTAGGCAATCCCTTAGAGAGACGAGCTGGGGCTTTCGCAGACTATGAAAACATTCCTTTATTTTTTTGGCCAAGCTCATTGCCGCAAAGGTCATGATGTGCACATCATGGGGTGGCCTGTGGGATAGTATTTCCTCAGCTATAATCCAGGTGTCATTCGACTTCTGAAAAGCGGCCAAGTACTCATCGGCCCACACCACGTTGCCCAAGCTCAGCGTATTAACTGCATCTATGACTTGGTCCGCTGTGAACTCTGTACTCATTCTGCGGATCTAAAATAATTGTTAAACAAAATGTAATTAACTTAACAGATAATCCAAGGAAGAGCCTGCAAGGCCAACTTTCAAAACAACAGTGGCGAAAAAATACCTATAAATCCTCAGGGACAGTAAGAAATCCTTTTTATTTACTAAATCCAAGACATAAAATATACACAAATATTGACAACAAAAGGAAAACTAGAGATGCAAAGAACGACAAGCCAGGTAATGAATGGAAGTATTCTTCTTTAGGTGCTGTTTTTGTTAGTAAATTTTATTATTTTAAATACCATCAAGCATACCACAAAAACGGAAAAATTGATAATTTATTTAAACGGCATACATATCAATTGGAATATTCGGAAATTCAGTATAGATGACTCAATACCGCCACAAGGCTACATTTATATATTTCATACTTGAACAGCAATAAGTCTAATCCAGCCAAGCGAAATATAGACTTTGCAAGTTATTCTGGGAAATCGCAACCTTGGTCCTGCGCGGCAATCAATTTTCCCAATGAATGCAGTGCGTTGAGACAATAAAACTCTGTGAAACTATACAAACAAGGGACTCGAACCCATTGTACATACGAGTATAGATATGTGTCCAGATTGCCGCAACTAGCGTTTGCCCAGCTCAAATGTTTACCCTGTCGTCTCGATTCGCAGTTCCAGGACGCCGCTCATCACGCACAAACGCACAAATTACTGGGGGCTGGGCTCCATTTGGGGGCGGAGGGGTGGGGAAGTGCCTTGACCAGCGCGAACAATAAGCAATAAAATTATATGCCATATTATACATATACACTGGCCAGCAATCCACTCACACTCGCACTCGCACTCGCGCCAATATAATTTTGAAATCAGTTAAGTGTTGGCTTTGTTCGATCGGGCGTTCAAGAGCAGTCCTACACTTGGAAAAAATACTAGTGAGATGGGCGGATTTATATTGGCCAAATATTACATTACTCATAAGTTTTGTTAGTACGAGCAAAGCTAGTGTCTTTATAATAATAATTATTAATATAATATATTATATAATATAATATATAATAATTATTCTAGTGTCTTTGGTACGAGTGCGTTACAACCCAATCCAAATTGATTTCAATATTTTGAAAATGATTATTATTATTTATTATTATTTGTACAACATTTAAATTAATATATTGATTCAAATATATTCGCATTGTATATATATTGAATATTTGCAATATGACACACTGTTTCGGTGCATTCCAAGCAAGCCGAACTTCTCGAACACCCCTCGCTTGGCGGGTCTGTCCTTTATTGTCGCGCTGCGTTGTGTGAGGAGTACATTAAATGCGCATCATAAATTTCATTACATTATTATGGCGTTGTTTGCGACAACAAGCGAGTGGCGTTAGCAGGATTCGACTACTTTATTGGATCGCCTCCGCTGCAGCGGAGCGACGTCAAATGGCATAAATAAAACTATCCGAATCTATTGTCTATCCATCTGCCAACAGTCTCTTGGCTTTATTAATGCACTAATTAGGGGGCGTGGGGGCACGCCCACTGCAATGCATTTTGTCAACATTATTTATGAGGCCGGCCAGTGGCGTCTTTTTCCCGAAAACTTCCGCCAACCACCCAAGGCACACGCCTTTATTTTGGCAGGCCAAACAAGAATGGGAGTGGGGTCAAATAACCGAATTGCGTAGGAAAATTATAGTGCCTTGCCAAAATTTAAACAAAGGCGCGGCTGTCCTCGTTGTCTGGGAAATTGATTGCTTGGCACTCGCCGGCGACAAATGGCAGTGAACTTATGTCGATAGAGCGCAAATGCGACTAACTGGGTCGGTGGGTGAAATAATATGGCTGAAAGGCTATTTTGATAAGCAGCTTATGAGCAAATACTTAAAACCTATTAAATAAGCGCTGCAGTGGCAGGTTGTTGAAAAGACTTTGAAATGGTATAGATGAAAGTATCTAGAACGTGTGCTGTGCGGCGGAGAAAGCACTTTCACTGCAACCTGCAGTGCCCCACTACATGGGGCTAAAAATTGCGAAATGTTCCGCAAACTGGAGCACAAAACTTAATTTGCAGCCCCAACATTGTTACGCTGCAGTGCCATCGAGAGGGTCAGACAACCGCAAGAAAAAGCCAATCAAGCTTACAAGCTGACCGCTTACATGGCAGGACACCCATAACAGGACCCATAACCCGAACCGAACCTTAACCCCACTTTGAACCCCCTTCCGGTCGACGAAGTAAAGGCGAAAGTAATTTGCAAGCCACTTTGCAGCGCCACAAAACGGGGACACTAAAAAATAGCTGTTGAAATAATTGAAAAATTTGCACTACATAGAAAATCGAATTATGAAGAAAGTGACGTTGGCGCTGGAAATATCACTTAACAGAAAACAAGAGCAAAACCCTATTAAAACCTTATTTATCCTGGCCAAAAAAACAAAAAAAACACACAGTGGATAAGCGAAGGCGGCTATAAGGAAATTATATGGACGAAGTTACTGCAAACAACCCTTGAGCAGCAGTAGCTGCAGAATTAATTGCTTTATATGGCGTGATAATTTATTGAAGCCCACGATGACCAACATGGGAGCAGAGCAGAAGGAAGGTCCTGTCCCTGGTCCTGCATTCTCCTGCCAGGGATAACACAAGTATTATGCCGGCAACGAGGCGTAAGGGTCAATCACATTAGAGACATGCGATTCGAGGGTGGTTGCACCCGGATCCGATCCCCGTCCATCGTCCTTCGTCCATAGTCCTTCGTCCTTCGTCCTCGTCCATGGTCCTTGGTCAAGGGTTGCCCTCTGCATTCTGCAATCTGATTATGTGTGCGGAGGAGGAGGAGGGCCGGGTAATAAGTTTTTCCCCGCATAATAAACATGCCAGAGGTATTGTGCGTTTGCCATGATGTTTGTACCACAACGGAAAAATATGGTAAAGCGTCTGCATAACTGCGTGAATTACGCAGCTAGACAAATATTTGATTTTGGGAGATGATAAGGCAAGTCATGACAAAGGCATTTTAATCGAACATTTTACTTGGTTACATGTGTCTACCTTGGAAAATGTTTCGTGTACATGTGGGAAAAGTATTATATTTGAAAGGTACCCGCATATACAAAAAGTCCAATTTCTTTTATAGGGTATTCGCGCATCAGCAACTTTCAACGGCGATACATTTTTTGTTGTGGAATTATTTCGCTTTTACCCAGCGGATATACGCACTGCCGACCGAGGGTCTTTTGTCGAGCTCAAAGGTATGGAATGAATATAATCAGCGCATTCAATCGACTTAATTTCATTATGAATACGGAGGCAGCTAAACGCTGCCCTCTCACTCGCTTTGTGCCATGATTTTCTTTCGCCGCTCGGCCCAAGCCGAGCTCATAAATAATCTTGCCAACTTGTCGGACAGGACACTCACCCCCCTCCCCTCCACCTATTTTCCGGCTACCCGGTTTCCCCGGTTTTAGCCACCAGCAGCTGCTGGCTGCTCGAGTTGCAAGGAAACAGCAGCTCCTACCACTTGGGCTGCTTTGGCCGCTGTTGACAAACAAATATGAAACTAATCCTTGGTAATTAGTGCGCCAACTTTTGCTGCATTTTGAGCCGGCAAAGGACACCAGGACACGCGGACGGGACCTTGTAGTCACTGCTGTCGCCGCTGGAGAGGGACTTGCGTGCTGGCTGCTTTTCCGTATCTCAGCGCCAGCCAATCTGGGAGAAAAGAGTGATACCAGTACCAGGTAATTTGTATTAGCTCGTTTAAAAATATAAAAAATATTTGCTGCAAATGTATTTTTGTATAGTATTTAAATGCATTTGCTTAAACAACTGAAGTTCGAATTGAAAGACTTGGTAAGCATTTTTCTTTTACCAAAAATATACATCAAATTACTGAAATGAAAATAATCATAAATAATTATATATCTAGAGCGTTGCACGAGTTATCTTTAAATTAGTTTGCACATCTGACAGGCACTTTGTCACTTATTTTTCCCAGTGCACTCCCAGCTCCTGGTCATAGGAAGTTTGGAGATTCCTTATGCTTTCTGCTTTTTGCGGTTTTCCCGGTCGCATCTCGGTGTTTTTTCTGCTTTTTTGGTCGTTTTTGTGGCGATGTCGTCGTTATTTTTATTGGAAAAGTTAAGCTTGTGTTTTGATAGGTTTCAGTCGTAAAGGGATTAATTAGTGCGGACTTCGCACCAGCGGCACCGCCAACAGGATAAAGCCAGCCAATGTCTGGCGCTACAAGCTCAACTTGCCGCCTCGTGTCGCAATGCATAATAAAAGTTAAGCTGAATTGCATAGTGTTTGCACATGAAATGGGACACGGGATCCAAATGGCGAGTGTACATATAGGGGTCGGCTTAATGAGCACGTTTTGAAAGGAGAGAGGTCATGTTTTAACAAATCATGTGGGTTCTTAAAGGTATTTTAAATATATGCATAAACAACTGCAGCAGCCTCTTTAGCTCTTGGGCTTCCAGCAACTCAAAACTCAATTACTTACGGAATTCCGCACACAATTCTTCATCTGACCACTTGTCTTCAGTGGAGTTTATTAATTTTATTTACCCTGCGACATTTCTCAGCTGAAATTCCAATGCTGCAGCATTTCCCGCTGTTTTTGCGGACGGCTTGCCGCCTTTTCTTATCTTTTTATTATGAACTGCAGCGACAATTTTGCTAGCCATGTCAGCGCATGATTTACGAGGCCGTGGCGTACAAATGAAAATTGTACCAAAAAGCGATGGGAGGGGCTCTGCCCGGACAGACAAACCTTTTTTGTGGCTCTGAAGTTTTGGCCACAAAACAGGAAACGGAAATGAGTGCGCAGAACGACGATGGCGACATGTGAAATGTGTTTGCTACCAAAGGAGCACACGGAAAACAAAAAGCACAGAAAAAGCGGCACCAGCAAACACATGCAAAATAAACGGGTTCAAGTGGCGCTCGTAAAAACTGGCGGCTTGGGTGGGGCAACTGGGTGAAGTGGGTGAAGTGGGCGCAGTGGGGAGGGGGCTAAAGCCAAAGGATAACTGTTGAATTGTTGGCCATAATAACAAGGCAGGCGACTCCCATGTGTGTCCGTGTCTGCCCGTGTGGGTGTGTTTGTGTTAGCCAGTCGCGTAGCAACTTGTGGCTAGCTTAATAGCAGTTAACAGCAAGCCGGCATAAGGGGTTGCGGACGGGGGTCAAAGGGCAGCTCTGCGGGTCGCCCTACACTCGTTCGAGTGCATGAAGAAGGAGCTAGCACAGTGTTAACTTGGTTAGTAAATCCCATTTACTTATTAGGCAGATGGATGCCAGCAGCGATATCTTACTTGAATGGCTTTTCTTAAGTTTAAAGCGTCATGGAAAAATAAATTCGCATTGAAATAAAGTGGAATTACTTTAATAAATTCTTCAAAAATATGATTCTACGGATCATAACATAAATCAGCTTAATATTAGAAGCATTGTGTAGGAAAAACTTAGGTAAGTGCATGAAACAGAACAAGAAAGTGCTATTAAGTCTAGCAACCAACGCCAACGCCAACGACATCCAGTGAATCCAGTAAAATTCAATAGAACAACAAACGAACCGCGTGCTGTGAAAACAATCCAATCAATTTATTAATTAAGCAGGCCACTCCGGCCAGAGGAGCGCCTGATGTACGGCTGTGTATATGGAGCTATGGTGCATATAGTCAGCCAACCGATTGTCTGTCTGGGGGAATCTGCAACCCCTTCTACCCGCGGATGGTGTGCGTCTATTTGTCTAGCTTTGTGCAATGGATTTTTAATGTTTTTCCGCCGGACTCGTCCGGTGGGTGGACAATAATGTAACGCATTGTTAAGTCCGCTTGGCACTTTTCGCACGCCAGCTGTGTCCGGCTGGAAAAGCGGGGAAACGCGGGGAAAAGCGGGGAAAACCCCCAAGGAGACCCAGCTAAGCTGCGAAGGAGCCAGCGAGGAAACGGCCCAGTCTTTAATGAGCCCCAAACTGCAATTACGCAAAACATTTGCGCCCTGCATGGCGTCGTCTGAAATAATTTTAATTGCGTTTTGCTTTTTATTTTATTGCATTTGGCGCCCTAACGATTTCGTTATGCTGGAGTAAATTAAACTAAAACTAGAGCCACCAAAGGAAAGCCATTAAACAGAGGACTTTAGTTCAGTGCAGCAACTAAAGTAGTGTACACTTTTGTCTGGATAATACACATGATAAATTTATCTTTGTTGCTCTTTTAAGGTCTAGCAAGAAGTGATAACAATAATTATCATTATTATTACTGCCACCTTAGGAATGTTGTTGCTGGTGAGTCATTTAGACCTTAAAAACCATTTAAATAAAGACTTTTACACCTACTTCCACTAACAGCCCAATCGAATTGGTTTGCTACTCCTTAAAGTATCTAAACAATAAGTTGTTCAGTTCCTAGAGAAACGCTCCATTACTGGTTGAAGCAAATTAACTTAACTTGGCAAAACCACCTGTTGATTTTATTACCTTTGAACCAAGTCCTATTACCTTTAAGCCATGGCTTCAGATGGCAGATAAGGGGAGATCGCTTATTAGATTGTAAATGTCAAGGCTCGAGTTCAACGTTTTTAGAGTCTAGTTATTTCTTAATGCCAAGGTTTTAAAATGGTTTAACAATTAGAATCTAGAGCCGTACCCAATCAATTTGTTCTAGTTTGCACTGCTGATGTTATGCCATAATCTTATGGCAAATCCAAACCAAATGGGGCTATCGGCAGACACCCATTGTAAGGATTTTTTAGCAAGATGCCAATTTTTTATTAGTTGATTATCTGCATGTCGACATAGATGGGAAGATATTTTAATCAACTCTGCATTCCTAATCTCAACTTCCTCAGATTTAAAAGCTTGACATTCATACGGACGGATGAACGGACGGGTGAACGGATGGATGAACGGACGGATGAACGGATGGATGAACGGACGGATGAACGAGCGGATGAACGGACGGATGAACGGACGGATGAACTAGATTGACTCGGCTATTGATCCTGATCTTCTACCTTCTACAAACTATTCAACGAATCTAGTATAACTATTTTACGAGTAACGCTTATAAAAAATATATTTGGAGAGTGCTATCATAAATCTTCTACAAGGAATGACTTAAAGCTACTGTATTTAGCCTTAGATCTATTGTTTCATTTGGGTTCATAACTTGTAACGTCACAGATGATTGTATTACAGCGATTAGGAACCGATTGATTCACTTGCTTGTCAAACTATTGCCAATCCAATTGTTCATACCTGGCAGTTGCCTCAAACACATAAATGCCCATTTCCCATGGAACATCCATCCATAATGAAGCTATCAGTTCTGATCTTGACCATCGTAGTACTTTTCCTCGGAGAAGCCCATCTCCAACCAAGGGTTCCTCCTTCTTTTGGAAAGTAGAATATAATGTTATCGCCATTACAATAAAAATAATTGATACTTGGTAAGCCGAAGGTTGTTTCCACAATTCTCTGACTGTATTCAATAATGTTCGAAGTCAGAGGCTTAAAGTTTTATATGCCGATCCGGTAGTTCAGGTTTACGAGCCAGTGCTAAAGTACATGACACATGAAACACAAGACATGATTAAATCATTATTGTAATAACTACGGTGTAATGTTTGATTGGTAGCTAACTATTCCACTCACAGCTGAGTACGTACTCTTGAGCTCATTTCCTCCAAGTAGCAATTTTTGTTGCACGTTTTTGAGATAGTTTTAGGCAGCGCAGGCGCACTGTGCCTCAGTTTTTTGGGTAGTAATTCACTCAAAATGTAGTTGGCTTTTTAAGCCTGCTACTTGTAACCCTGCGATTGGGGATGAATGCAATTGCCGAAAGGGGTGCTGTGGGGCAAAAAAAGGGGAGCGGATAGGTGGGACAATTGCAGCTAATTGGCAATAATCAGGCATCGACCATAAATTGGCGTTAACAAGGCCAACAAATCAGCGGAACGCTGCCTGTTTGGCAGTTGAAATTGTGATTGAGCTGGCGGCATAAATCAGCCAAATTGAATTACGAAAAAACACTGGAGCAATAAAATCTAGCAATTATATTTATGCATATATGCGGATGGCTGTGTGCCTTTCTCTGGCCTCGCGACAATTTAATTACAATTGGCCATGGAGAGAAATTGCAGTTGCCGCCGCACTGGCGCCGCAAAATATGCTAATTTATATTTATATGGATATGGAGTTATTCCCCAGCCGACTTTTCCGACACACCGCCCCTCACGCCCCCTTTGTGCATCGCCATCGCCCCGCCCCCTAAATTTCGATCCAACTCCAGACTCCCGAGGCTGTGTGAAATATTTTCGGCGGCGACTGCGGTCGTAAAATTTATTGTTGCCAAATGCATATTTGTCACATTTCGCAATGTGTTTGGCGGCCATAGAACAATTTACAAGCAACTGGGGACTTTGGCTAAAAGCCTTGCCCCCCTTCCCTTCCACTTCCACTTGTACATCCATCTGCTCGCGTTTGAAAAAATAAACTAAGGCCATCGGGATGTGCCGCACTAAAAGCGCCTTCGACTCGGCTGAAGCCCAAATATTTTATACATTTAATTGTCAGACATTCGGAGAAGCTAAGCTGAGTGGAGTACTCTTTTTTCGGAATATATATCAGCGAATGATGTATGCACTTTTGAGATACTCGCAATTCCTTATTCTAACAACCCCAAGGGTCCAGAAATTTCCATCGCCCATTCCAGGGGCCCACTAACTAAACTTGCCATCAACATGATAATTGGCCCGCACTTCTAGGGAAAATATCCATTGCCTTTTGCCCTTCAGCTGTCACAACACACAAACACTCAGCCACCCACACACACACACATACACACACCCACATACCCACACAACCACACACACTTCACACCTCAGAGACTCGCTGAATGGGAATCCCCTGAATGGTCGCTAAACAAAAGAAATGAAGTCATTTGTAATTAATGAGGTTTGTCACCCCAATTTTCCGCAACTTCCAGCGGGACCAAAAAAAGGCAACATCAGACTACAAAAGTGGGTGGTGGGCCAAAGTTCACCTGCCTGGCTGGCATATTGAAAATCACAGTCGGCGAGCAGCCGAGGAAAAGAAGAAAAAAGCATCCACAAAACAATCTAATTATATCGTTAAGCACACCAAAATTGGCAGCGGATCCACCCCTGAAAAAGGAAACCTCATCTTCACCCCTCAGGTGATTTTTGGGCGGTGATGGTGACCCCAACTCCGCCACTTCTCACCGATGTCACCTTGACAGACAGACAGTCAGACAGACAGACATACGCATACTTGACCCTGACAGACAGGCTGACTTTTGGGGTGACAGTTTCCGTTCGCTTGTTTAATTAAAATTATGTAAATAAATTTATTTAGCTGACACTGCGCTGTAATTAAGTGCAAGGGGAGCGAGGCTTTGCATCTGCTGCCTGACAAATTTGGTCCACCTTGGCGGACAAGTTATGCGCCGTCTTCAGCTGTTTACACGGAAAGAAACTAAGCGGTTTCTATAACAGAATCTTAATTTTATATATATATTATATATTATAATTTTATTTTACTGGTATCTGAAGTCTTTGCTGTAGCTATGAAGTGCTGCAATCGATGGAGCACACTTTCCTGTGTACCGCCTTTTACCTCCTCCAAAGTCTATATATGCTAACAAATTAGCCTTGAAATGAGCAATTTGCAGGCCATGGCTGTGACGCGGCGGAAAATGCTGGAGTGGGTGGATGGGTGGCTGGGTGGTTGGGTGGTGCTGTCTTCGCCGTGAATACAAACTGAATACAAACTGAGCTGACAGCTGCTGTCAGTGGGCGCACGTCAATGGCGGGATGTCAGGAGTATTAGATATTCCTTCCGGGTGGCGAGAGGCGTGAAAAAGCAATTAAGTGTGAAGTCCTTAAGTTGCCGCAACAACAGCAACCAAAAAGAAGAACAACAAAAAGTGGACTTTTTCCGTGTCTGGAACATGGAACGCAAATGAAAAATGATGTAAGGCATGCTAATGGAACTCCTTCACATCACGTACTGCTCTCCCCAACTTAAAGTTTAATAAATTCCAATGAAACCCCTTCGCACGAAGACCTCTCAATCACTTTTGGAGCGCAAGTCAAATAAATTCGCTTTTGACAAGTCGCACAGTTGACCTCACCAATTCGACATTCATGGGCCTTCATAATTCGCATGCAGACTAATGAAATGCCAAAAGTCAGAGGCCCATTTCGCATATGTCAACCACCCACTTTCAGCAGCCCCCACATGTACAGTGAACTCCACACGTGCTCCGTTGACGTCACCACAGTGAAGCCATGTTGACATCAACGTGGGGGAAATTGTTTTGATGAATGTGTCGATTTAATTGATGAATGAGTTTTTAAGCTGGCAAAAAATCGAATGGCATCACGTTTTTGCTGGCCTGGAAAAGTGTGCATACACTGTGCAAAAGAGAAAGATACTAATGTCACTGACTAATTAATGGTATAGAAAATACAAATATTTTTAATGAATGTGCAGGAACAATGTTGCCTTCAAAATACAAATTAGTTATATTGCAGCTCGGACAAAATTCACAATATCCCGGATGAAAGGAAGTGTTTTGCATGTATTTCATTTGATTTATAGCCGAGGCCCCTTGAAGGATGATCACCTGACAGGTGAGCGGACCTTAATTGAGTACTCGCACTGATGCCAATAAATGTGCTGCAAGGCCACCGGGTGGAGGAAAGTCAAAAGTCCTGGCTTAACAAGGCCAGGAATTCGAAAGCCAAGCGCGCAACAATTGCAAGCCGCAAATATCAATAAAAAACTAGTGCAACATGGAGCTGTAATGTTGCGATTTGTTCGCTAACCAAAGCAGAAGGGCGCCCCAAAAAGGGGGGAAATTCGAGCCCAACTGCTAGTCAGTCTCTGGCATGCAATAATATAAATTCCAGGCAACACACACGGCCCTTTAAACGAGGTAAAAAAGAAAGGAAAAAGAACAGCAGCCAGAACACTGGAAATAAAATCCAACATCAAACTATAAATAGAGTCTGGCACTGCCGCTGCTGCTGGCCGTGCATGTGCCGTTATTGGAGTGAATTTCTGGGAAAGTCTTGTGGCTTAATCTACAACAGCGTGCGGTTTGCCGGCAGCCAGGAGCGCCGGCAATAAAAGCCGGAAAACTGGAGCTGAAATGGGAGCCGCATGCAGCGGCGGTTAAATATTTAAAGCTTTCGGCTTGCGAAAGCCAACCGATTGGATGGGGGTTAGACAATCAGACAGGGCCGGAAATATATGAAAAGTTTCAAATTCAGCCGGTGAAAAAGTAATGAAAGAGTGTCATAAATTATTTAAATATATATAAAAAGTGCAAACAGTTAGTTTCAGACGTACAAATCAGTTCTGTATAGGATTGTTGGCTAAAAGAAAATTGGAGCTGTAAATATGTTGCGGGAAAGCACTATTTCCACCCTGGAGTGGATTACATGATTCCAGCTTTTCAGCAAGTGTATGTATGATTTTCAGCCACTTAAGATGTCTATCTCCCCACTTGACCACAAGTTTCCCCTTAAACTCACTTTAAATGGCTCGTAAAATGCTTTGTGATAAGATTTCGCCCACTTCTCGTGCACTTTCCAAATGTCATATTTCCTGTGACTGTAGCTGGACTCAAGTTAATTATCAGGCTTAACAGTTTGCTAGTTAAATTCCACCCCATCCGCCGTTTTGCCTCGAATGCGACACAACGTATAAAACTTAATGTGCCGCGTGCGCATAAAACAAAATTTCAACTGCAATTAGTCGTGCAAGGCTCTGAAATGCCCCCCATGACCCGCGATCCTCGCTGCACGACTTTCCTCTGATAAAACCATAAAAAATTTTCCGCCAACATGGCAAATAATTTGGCTAACGACATTTTGTAACTAATGCTGGCCAACCGCAGCAACAACAGCGATAACCATTAACACGCCCCCTTTTCCGAACGCCCATCGGTTGGGAAATGCAGCAACGGAGCAGCCAGCTGGTCATTAAAAGTCCACCCATAACAGTTTATTGTAATGCGACCGCTCGTAGGCCAACTGGACAAGTGGCCAGAAACCCGCCCCGCCCCGCCCTCACCGCCTCCATAGCAACCCCATCTTGGGGCTCCAATACGTTGGGGCTGCTACCCGGCGTTGCCACTTAATTAGAAAAGTTTTGGCGCGCCACGAGACAAAAGCCATTGACAGCGACGAAAAGTTGGGGAACGCCCTCGTTGCCGCTTGCTTCCTCCATTTCCACGCTCCTAAACCATCGGCAAACTGCATTCCACTGGCCTAAGGAGTTATATGGAGGCTGTGACACCAATAGACGTGGTGATACTCTATAAATATTAGAACCTTAGAAAAATTGGCTAGAACTACTTGGAGTTCTCGATAGAACACTTGCACATAGGAATTGTACGCACAACTCGTCTAAGACACATATACTTCTACCTTTAATTTGTAATAAATGATATGTTAAAACCTCTAATTATTTATAGTTCATGGATACTGTGAGAGCTTAGAATCAGATCCCAATGGGATCTGCAACAAAGAGTTATACCCGGGCAGCAAAGAAACATGCTAAATGTTAGGCTATTAGCAGCAACAA